TCTCAACATGTAACACAAACCTACGGCAAAATAAGTAAACCCCAAAAGCAAAACAAAGTGGCTACAGGACGACAAAAAATGTGGACATGTACAATATGCACACACCAACGACATGGGAAAAAAAGCTTTACATTTCTCATTTCTGGTATAAAGGATAAAAAGAAATAAAGAAAACAAAACATTTCAGATATTTTGGTATGTATGCAATGGGTCCTCTTCTCTTCAGGTGATTTTTGTCTCGGTGACCGTAATAGTCATTTTTCTCTCCTGTGGGTCTGAGTCTGACTTGAGGGAAGTCCAGATCCCCTTTGCTGGGGGTTAGTTTGACCTCTTTTCTGGAGGGGTAGTCTGTGTGTTTATGGGGGTGTTGGGGCGCTCTGTTTGGCTGTGATGGTAATGGTGGTGGTGGTTGTGATGGCGGGCCATGGCTTCTGATGGGACTACAGCAGTGTAGACGACAGACCGGGACAGTCATTTTGGCTATGTACACATTCGTAGTCGGTCCATGGCTCCCCAAACGAGCGTCATTTCCTCAGGTCTAATACACAAACCTGGAACAGAGAGAGAGAGGGAGGGAGAGAGAGAGGTTAAAGGTCATATGTAATGAGCAGGGCCAGGAGCTTTTTTCCTGACCATGTGACCAGACCAGGGAAACCCCTGGCCTTAACAATGAAACAAACACACATCCATTATTAGTCTAAGTAGTGCTGTTTCCAGTGCTGAAAAACACTTCCTTTCATGCATTATTCAATCTTAGAACTCTCAGCTGCTCCACGTGTAAAACCTCTTAAGTCCAGTCAGAATGATAGCTATTGACTTCCTAACCGTCCCTGTCAATAGACACTGCATTATGCAAGGAGATCATTGGTGGTGGGCCTCACTTTACTAGGACAATCCCTTAACGATTATCCGTAGATGCTCAAGCCGATTGACAAACTATCTGTTTGATTAACTACTCCACAGCTGCAACTATTGACATAAAAACCATTATGTTTACTGCTCTAGCTGTAACACTTGATGAATAAAACAGATACTGGAAAGGTAGTTAGCTGAACATCCATTTATACCATTTGCCATTTAATATTTAGCAGATGCTTTTATCCAAAGTGACTTAGTCTTAGGACTTAGGAAACAACTGTTGGCGCAATTATTAGAAAATGGAAGAAGTTCAAGATGACGGTCAATCACCCTCGGTCTGGGGCTCCATGCAAGATCTCACCTCGTGGGGCATCAATGATCATGAGGAAGGTAAGGGATCAGCCCAGAACTACACGGCAGGACCTGGTCAATGACCTGAAGAGAGCTGGGACCACAGTCTCAAAGAAAACCATTAGTAACACACTACGCTGTCATGGATTAAAATCCTGCAGCACACGCGAGGTCCCCCTGCTCAAGCCAGCGCATGTCCAGGCCCATCTGAAGTTTGCCAATGACCATCTGGATGATCCAGAGGAGGAATGGGAGAAGGTCATGTGGTCTGATGAGACAAAAATAGAGCTTTTTGGTCTAAACTGCACTCGCCGTGTTTGGAGAAAGAAGAAGGATGAGTACAACACCAAGAACACCATCCCAACCGTGAAGCATGGAGGTGGAAACATCATTCTTTGGGGATGCTTTTCTGCAAAGGGGACAGGACGACTGCACCGTATTGAGGGGAGGATGGATGGGGCCATGTATCCATGTATCGCGAGATCTTGGCCAACAACCTCCTTCCCTCAGTAAGAGCATTGAAGATGGGTCGTGGCTGGGTCTTCCAGCATGACAACGTCCCGAAACACACAGCCAGGGCAACTAAGGAGTGGCTCTGTAAGAAGCATCTCAAGGTCCTGGAGTGGCCTAGCCGGTCTCCAGACCTGAACCCAATAGAAAATCTTTGGAGGGAGCTGAAAGTCCGTATTGCCCAGCAACAGCCCCGAAACCTGAAGGATCTGGAGAAGGTCTGTATGGAGGAGTGGGCCAAAATCCCTGTTGCAGTGTGTGCAAACCTGGTCAAGACCTACAGGAAACGTATGATCTCTGTAATTGCAAACAAAGGTTTCTGTACCAAATATTAAGTTCTGCTTTTCTGATGTATCAAATACTTATGTCATACAATAAAATGCAAATTAATTACTTAAAAATCATACAATGTGATTTTCTGGATTTTTTTTTTAGATTCCGTCTCTCACAGTTGAAGTGTACCTATGATAAAAATTACAGACCTCTACATGCTTTGTAAGTAGGAAAACCTGCAAAATCGGCAGTGTATCAAATACTTGTTCTCCCCACTGTACATCTACAGATCATTAGCACTAGCAACAATGATTTAAAAACATAAATGAATAAATGCAACAGTTGGACAATGGATGAAGACACTCCAAATGTTTTGAATGTTTTAAATCCATCAGGTATTGAATGAATTATAGCGCATAAAACATTTTACCGGAACGGACAAATAATGAATGAAGTTCAGGGATTTTGGTATGGAATTCAGGTATTTAATTAGTCATTCTCCTTTTTTCTTAGACTGCACATATACACTGAATATACCAAACATTAGGAACACCTTCCTAATATTGAGTTGCACCCCTCCCCGTTTGTCCTCAGAACAGCCTTAATTTGTCGGGACGTGGATTCTACAAGGTGTCGAAAGCATTCCACACGGATGCTGGCCCATGTTGATGCCAATGTTTCCCACAGTTTTGTCAAGTTGACTGGATGTCCTTTGGATGGTGGACCATTCTTGATACACACGGAAAACTGTTGAGAGTAAAAAATCCAGCAGCATTGCAGTTCTTCACACAAACCGGTGCGCCTGGCACCTACTACCAAACCCTATTTAAAGGCACTTAAATATTTTGTATTGCCCATTCACCCTCTGAATGGCACACATACACAATCAATGTCTCAAAAGGCTTAAAAATCATTATTTAACCTGTCTCCTCCCCTTCATCTACACTGATTAAAGTGGATTTAACAGGTATTTCTTTTATATTTTGTGTTAAAATAAAACATATGTGCCTTATTTGCATAAATACACTGGGTGTATTTGCATATATGAGTACATAAAGGGGTGGAATTAGGGCTGTTACGGTGACTGTATTACCGCCACACCGGTAGTGAGTGCATACATTTTCCCAGTACTGGCCCCCCGTGGGAATCGAACCCACAACCCTGGCGTTGCAAACGCAATGCTCTACCAACTGAGCCACGAGTCATGACGGCAGTCAAATTCCATGTGACCGTTTAGTCACGGTAACTAGGCTTCTCCATTCTCTGATGCTGCTGATGGACATTAGTAGTCTAGCAAACTTGCTAACTGCACTCTATTGTCCCTCTAATCACTCTGACATCAATGCAAATGTAATAGAACATCTAATCAAACACTTCATGAGTGCCCATGAGCTAATGTTGCACAACATTTCTTTAGGCAGAGTTTTGATGGCCTCCATTAAAAAGAGGAGGATCCCATCAGCTTTCTATAGGCTAGGCCTACTATATTTATTTCTCAACTTTCCTAATATTAAGCACATTGCTTCTCTTTACAACAGGAGTATAGCCTACCTGGCTGGCATGAAAGTGAACCACGGGAAAAGCGTCCTCCATTCGCTATTTAATTGCATAGTCCTCCATTCGCTATTTAAGTGCATAGATGACATGTATTTTTTTTTCAAATGCCCCTGTTCTGAGACAGGTGCATGATAATGGTCCATTCTAAATCAAAACTAATATTCACACATATATTTAGTATATGTAAAGGCAACATTAAATTAACAAGTCTGATGGGTGACAATATTAGCCTATCACTTGTGAATGATGTATTATCGCTTGTGAATGATGCCCAGCTTATGTATTAAGGCAAGAAACAGCGCATACCTTTTTTTTGCGACTTTTTCAAATCATAGTCGCACACCGCATGTATCCTAGCCCATAGGCCTATATGTTTTGATAAGGTTTTTATCACAACTAAAGTGGCCAAATAACTTCTTAAAATTAAGCATATTAATCAGTTTATAACCGGTGTAGAACCTAACTGGCATACATAGGCTGTGCCTGAGTTTCAAGATTGAGGAAGATAATTTTCACCATAAAAATGCATCTATGTAATAAAAGCATTACTTGCAGAATCGCATTTGCAGTCACTTTCGAGAACAGCGGTTTCCCGGTAATTGCTTGCATTTTGGAACATTCGCGCTATAGCCTACTGCCTCATTAATTACTGTTGTCACATTGTGTTGCATAATTCAACAAGTGTGTCAATAGCAGGATACGCTCTGATTAAAAATCAACACGCTTGGCTCTAGATAACACCTCTCTATAGTATACACAATTTACATTGTTTGCGAGATCAGACATAATATCACTATAATCCGAGTGTCCATTTTCGGAAGTTGCTTTTATTTCTGCTCATCTAATTTGTAAACATTTCAACTGTATCAACTGATTACTTTTTTCAATTCCACAAAAAAGTTATGTTTCTTGTGATGCAAGTGTCGAGATGTGTTAAATCCCAGACGAAGCTTTAGCGTTCTTATAGATGCAACGGAAAGATTATGTATTCCATTGAGCCCATTTCAGCCATTACCGGGGTGTGCTTGACAGGTCATTCCAAACATTTCCACAGTTGTAACTTAAACGGGAAAAAATGACAGGCACAAGTAAGAGTATGAAAGAGTCGCAGGAGTAAAATGAAAGCAATCAATCCAGCGAAATTTAAGTGACAAGTGGATTTGGCACCCCTCAAAAACACAGGAAATATATAGCTGAAAAAGACAGATCCTCAGGTGGGCGGGGCATGCGAGTTGCAATGAGCACAGTTCCACTATCCATATAAAGTGTCACTAATAGACTAAGGTCCAAAAGGCTTCTTAACAGCTTCTACCCCCAAGCCATAAGACTCCTGAACAGCTAATCAAATGGCTACCCGGACTATTTGCATTGACCCCCCACGTGCCGTGACCAGGAAAATCTTGGGACCCTAGATATAGCTTTTAACTGTGGTCTAATATTTTCCCTTCTCAGTTCCTTCTGAAATCAGGAAAATAACTCCTGGCCATGAAGAGGCGGCTGGTGAGACTTACCGATCCGTCCGACGCGCTGGCTCCAACTTTGTCTCCCGTGGCGTTCCAGCACACCTCGAAGATGCCCCCCGTTCCCCTGTAGCTGTGAACTAAAGCACCCGTCTGGACAGACAGAGGGACAGACAGGGATGTGATCAGCAAAACAATGATAATCAAGAGAAATGGGGACAGGTCAATTTCAATCATGTTTACTTCCTTACACGTATCTCACTTAGGGCTGAATCCTTACTTGAGAATAGTTAGGACAAGTCACCCGTTAAAATCAACGCATGATTTATGTGAAAGTCAGAGTTATGCGCTCAGATCTCAAGTTAGGATTTGGACCTAAATATTCAAACCCATGCATCGACCATCAGACTAGCCCTGCAATAAACAGTTGGGCTTGAGATGTGAATGACGTATGAGTGGGATGAGCGAGTGTGTGTGTGTGTTATTCCGTCCTGTACCTGTGTGTTCCAGATGTGGACACACTTGTCGAAGGAGCCGCTGGCCAGGTGGCGCCCGTCGGGGCTGAAGGCCACACTGTAGACGGGCTCCTGGTGGCGGGTGAGCGTGTGGATGCACACGCCGCGCTCCACGTCCCACAGGCGCACAGTCGAGTCAAACGACGCACTGGGGGGAGATAGAATAGTACTTTAGTGTCCATCTTGGAAAGGAAATTCATATTTTGCTCTGCTCCTAACCTCCAAGACACAACACATTTGGGAGGGAGTACAGGGTCAGCCCCAGCGCAGCGCCCCGAAGCAATTTAGGAGAGTAAAAGGAGAGGAGGAGAGGAAAGAGAAATATACTTTAATTTGATTACAGTGACTATCCTGGGATCTATTCCGTTGGGGCAAACAGAATGCAGCAGATCGAGATGCATAGAATGAACATACATGACTCCATACTACGTCACTTACAGATCCTAAATGCATTTGTTTGACACAAAACCTCTTATTAGCACAAACCCCCAGAGGCATGCTGGGAGTTGGAGTGTTTCCCAGAGGAATGCTGGGAGTTGGAGTGGTTCCTAGCCTTATTTTACCTGGCCAGCATCAGATTGGCATTGGGGTTGTTGGTCCCAGGCCCCGTGGGGCTCCACTTGATGGTGTAGATCTCCTTACTGTGAGCCTGCAGGTCATGGACACACAAGTCCTGCTTCATACTCCAGATCTGGTAGAGACACAGAGGGGAGAGGGGAGAGACAGAGATGTGAGGACTCCAATCAAAGAGATTATAAACTGCAGCCAAAAGTAGACCCCGGTAAAACTTATTTTGTACTATTATTTCCTACTCCATGAAATACATATTTGGCAGTAGTTAGGAGGCTTTTTGTGAGCTGTGTGTGTGTCTGTGTGTACTGACCTTGAGTGTCATGTCGTCGGAGCAGGAGGCCAGCAGACTCCCCGTAGGATCCCACTTGATAGCGTTCACCTCATTCTAGAGGGAAAAGAGAAAGGGATGATGAGGAGGGATACAAGGAAACATTTAGTGAACTTTATAATATAGCAGTGCACAAAAAGGGAGCATCAACTGTACAAAGGCACTTCCTGCAGTGATGTGATTGAACAGGATGGGCAAAAGCTTTCACCTATCCTCTATATTCAGATCAGTGCGTTTGAACTCGAGGATGCCACTTTAGACTATTGAGATTAATCAATGTCGGTCACAATGGCTGCATTTACACAGGCAGTCTAATTCTGATCTTTGCCAATAGTTGGTCTTTTGTCCAATCAGATTAGATATTTTGCCAATAATTGAGCAAAAGATCAGAATTGGTCTGCCTGTGTTAACGCAGCCATTGTTAATGTGACAGGGAGAAGAGACAATTGAGATGCACCCAGGCCAGAGAGCCAGTCCAGTCTCCGGTCTTACCGTGTGTCCCTGGAAGGTCTTGACAGGCCGGTCCTGGCCCAGCTTACACACATGGATGCACATGTCCGTGCTGCAGGAGGCAAACGTGTTGTTGTTCTGCCAGTCAACGTCCAGGGCCGGCGCTGAGTGAAAGGGAAATTGCTGCTTGGCCTCCCCTGTGTGAGCGTCCCAAATGATGGTGGTCTAAACGAGAGACAGATATATTGTCAGAGTCGTTTCATCATATGAGTGACAAATGACACAATGACACCACACCATGACAAATCAATTACATTTAAAGGGATGTTAAACATCTGGTCTCTTTTATTCTTAAATGGCTTTCTCCACGTTTTCTTCTCTTTAAAAAGGCCCAGTGAGGTCAAAAAAGTTTCTTTATTTTAAGAAAACCCTTGTGACAAATATGATAAAGCCCTTTTAATGTAAGAGTTGTTTGAAACGACCGCCTGAAATTTCAGCCTGTTTTGGTGGGATGGAGTTTTGGCCTGCCGGTAAATGTAAATAGACCAATAAGAAAGAGCGTTCTAAACCTCTCTGCCAATAACAGCTAGTTTTCAGTTTTCACCTCCCCACTCTGACAACAACCAGACAGTCCTAGCAAAAATCTTAATTGAGAAATTGCTCTTTGCTAAGAAGCTATTTTTGTATATTTTTGGCCATTTTCATTGAAAACAATTCACAGTAAGGCACTTCATTGTTACCCAGAAATGATTTGATATTGAGATAAAAGTCCAATGCAGACATTTTTAACACACAAACCATTATCTTACCTTATCTACTCCTGCACTGAGGATAAAGTTGCCTTTCTTATTCCATTTGAGGGCAAATATAGGACCCTTGTGCTGGCCTAAGGTACTGGCGAGGTTACCTGCAAAAAAACATGTCATGGTGCTTGTTTAGCAAGAGAACTTCAGACCATCTGTGATTCTGTTTAGAAATGTTGAGATGTGAAAGTTCTGACATTAAAAGAGGCAATACGGAACTTTTGCCTTCGAGGTTGCTCTTGAGCCACACAAAGGGGTCCCCTAAATAGACAGAAATATTGTCCAGAAATGACCTCATTGGACAGAAAGCGGCACTCCTCCCCTCGCCCGTGAGCAAAAGCTTATATTGTTTGCCTAAAACTAAGGATTCAAGACAAAATTTTACATAAACAATTAGCATGCCCATAGTGTATCTTTAAATTGCTTACCGTCTTTAGTCCATATTCTGGCAAAGCCATCGTACGAGCCTGTGGCTAACAGCGTACCCTCACTCTGAAAGACAGAAATTCATCAGTTAGTCATTTTTCGGACCAATAACCTGTAGTTCTGGGTTTCTGTTGCACCCAAAATTGGGACAAAACAAGGCCCTGATCCTAATTAGAGATTTATGTGAATTACTCAAATGTTGGCTTAAATCTCCTGATGACATCAAACAACAGTCAGTTTTTCCTGCTTATCAAGTTGTGATTTGGCCAAAAGTACTTAAATGCTGGTTCAGTATCCTCCAGCAACTTGTAGAGCAGGGGAAAATGACAGCCTGCTCTACTGTAAGTCTAAATTCTGAGTAGCAGTAGTGAAAGCCCTGCATTTTCCATGGGAGGGAACGAAGCCATCCCATATTTCCGGTTGGGAAGCGCTGCCAGAGAATGCCTTTGGCAGCTGAGACACACACGCACACCAGAATGTGTACACACACACAGTCTGTCTGCCCACCCCCACCTCAAACACACACTCTCTCTCTCGCTCACATTCCAGTCCAGTGAGGTGACGTCTTTGTTGCTGGGTACGTCCTGGCCCCCCTCCCGTATGCAGTGTCTCAGCACCAGCTGGGTGGAGCTGCCTGTGCTGTTCTCACTCAGGTTCCAGATCCGCGCCGTTGAATCCCCAGACCTGCACACACACACACACACACACACACACACACACACACACACACACGAGTTACACACTGTCATCTAACGTGCAACTTCTTTGGCTGCTTGTCAGCCTAAAACATAGCAACATTAACCCTCGTGGGAATTGACCTATATGGATAGGGCTAAATTGAAATGTTTCTTACAGAAGAAATATGAAAATGCATAAAATTTGGAGATAATGGGAAAATTATTAGACCAAAGGTGAGTACACAACAGTTCACCTGATACAGTTGACTACACAACTGTTCAAGACTGAATCCAAACATTACACTGTTGATTTTTATGTGCATTTTACATTTATTGTACTTTTCGCTGCATTTGTTGATAATGAAAATAACAACATAATAAAAAATAACAAGGGTTTGAGTGAGAGGACTAACTGGTGTCTCCAAGTGGCCACACATCTCCAAAGTGTGCACAGTTCCTAAGCAATTTCAATACACTTTTATGACTCAAAGAATAATATTTTTTGCTCTCCTAGCTGTGCCGTTGAGGAACTAGAGCAAGCTCACTTGTAGTTGTTTCGTTTGGAATACAACCCTGCATCCCCACCATCACACAATTACTGTTGTTGTTTACGCAATCCAAAAGCGGTCCATTATAAATAGCAATCTGGGTCAGGTGGGCATGATTTGAAAGCTTGTTCTATTGCCAACATGATTAGCTAAGTTATAAAATACGATCTTACAGTGTTGGGCTTTCACAAGGCAATTCAGAGAAACAGCTCATAATTCTGGTGCACATAGAAAGAGTGCATTCAGGTGCGTTTGCTGCCGCAAATTGTCTTCACAATAAACAAACATAGGCTCATTCTGTTCAGAACAGAATCATTAAGCCTAGGCCTACTCACCAAAAAGATGTCATGGCCGTAATTTATCACCATGCGGTGTTCAATGTGGAACTGTTAATCCATTTAGAACATTCCAAGGAACAGGCAGAATAAACTAAATCGAACGTCTGTCTGTATATCTTGTAACCCTGAAAACATCGTCTTTCAACTCACCAAATTGAGCCCTGCTTTAAATGATCACTCTTTGAGGAGAGAGCGCTGACGTCATGTATAGCATGTTACTGTACAGCCACTACGTTCCAATTGAGGCGCTTATTAGTGCCCAAATCTTCCATTTTCAACCTGTATACAGGTACGCGTGTAAAGGGCTAATAAAACACACTTCTCAGGATTAAATTAGATATGAGAGTACATAAACCTGCCAAATATACACATTATTTATCTTAAGTGTAAACTTCCTTGATTAAGTTCTGCTCATCAAAATGTAGGTCAACGCATACTTCTCATCATGAAAACGGGCAATGCTATATGAAGGGGGATTTTACTTCATGAACAGAAATCATTTATCTTTAGGCTGTCTTTCTCTATAAAGAGAGACAGGGATAGAGAAGTAGCAGGAAAGGGAGACAGTGAGTGATAGGAGGGTGAGAGAAAAAGGAGAGAGGAGTAGGAGAGAAAAAGAGACAGTGAAACAGAAGCCGAGAGAAATAGAAGTCAGAAAGAGAAAAGAAACAGAAGAAGGATATAGGAGTCGGTTCTGTACCCGGAGGCGAGCAGGTCATTGACGGGGTTCCAGGCACAGATGAACACCTCGGACTCGTGGCCTCGCAGCACCATGGCCTTGTTCTGGGGGATCTCCACATCCCCGTCCACATCCATCATGTCTGCATGGTGGTCTGGAGGGGGAGGGGATGGAACACACCTTAGAGTTAGATAGAGGACTCATCTTTGTATCAAACGGATTATATCCATCTTGTCCGCTATCCATCTCTATGGAAGACACACTCACAGGTCACATACAGAGGTCTTGGGCTGCGCCCTGAATCTCCTAACTGTGCACTTGAACATGCCCCGATCATCATTTAAAAGTGTAGGATTGATGTAAGCATTGGCTGAAGGGAATTTCGACCACTGTTAAATCCATGACGGGAGAAAGGTAGAGATTTTCATTGGTCCGGCTTGTCGAGTAGCAGCTAAACCTACGCTAGAGTTAGTAGAAATGATTGCGAGGAAAAGGTCAAACCATCTCCGCCGTCGGTTGTGCTTTAAACTCAAGAGGTGTGATTATGTAGGTCTATGTATTGTAAATCATTTTTACTGTTATGACCAGGGGTTAATTCCATAAATACAATCTTAATTCAATTCCCTCTACTTGTAAATTCCATTTAATTCAATTCAAATTTCAGGTCAGTTTTTGAATTCAGACAATTCAATTCCTCTCAATTCCAATGTTAGGTAAATTCCAAGAATTCAATTCCTAGTTCAATATTATCCCCAAGAATTCCCAAAATTCCGATTTGAATTCAATTCCCTCAGGCTTTCAGGACGATCATGTCAATATTCAGCGTGCTTCGCTATACTCCAAATATACAAATCAGTTGAAATCATTTCAAACAAATCCTGCAATCCATTTTGTATACTAAGTGCATTCATTCCATTAACTGATTAATTGTTTTTACAATTCCAATTCAAACAGTCTAATTCCAACACAATTCCAATCCCATAACTTGAATTCAATAGAATTCACTTCATAAATTAATTCAAGAATGGAATTGGAATTTCCAATAAAATTGGAATTGACCGCAACCCTGGTTATGATATCATGTTAACTATTACGAAATATATATATTTTTAAATTCAACTAAAATAAAAGAGGTGTCATAATGAAAGGTTCTGCTCACTGGCTAAGGCGTGGGCGCCATTCTCCTCGCCGTTGGCAGCGGTTCCCCCCTCTCCGTTCTTAGCGCCGCCAGGCTGGGGGCCCTGGGTGCCACTGGTGCTGCCAGCCCCGGCTGCCTGCTGCTGATGGGCCAGCTTTTCCCGGTAGGCCTGCTGCCGTGTCTGCACCACATCAGGCATCACAGCGTCGATCAGAGACAGCGACTCAATGGGCCGCCCGTCAAACAGAGTGCCATCCTGGGTGACAAGATACAGGGGTCGCAGCTTTAGCTTTCAGAAATCTGCATTTTCAAAATGCTGACCATCAAAAAATCTGCGTTTTAATCGATTTCACCTGCGTTTCATACAGGGATGGCCATTTGACCTTTGACTGTTAAAGTACTCGCATGATTTTCTATCAAGTACAAAAAAAAAAGAGCTATTTGTAGAACAAGGGAAAAAATGTGTGCATTGATTTATATGCCAACAGTGTGCAACAATGCCTAATTTATCATAACCATTACAGATAACGAATCCTAATTGCTAAATTGCCTCATTATATATCCAGTCAATAAAAAACAAGTGCCATTTAAGATTAATTTATTGAACCTGTAATATCAACTGGTTATATCGTGGAATACAATCTTCAAAATGTTAGTAACCTCAGCAGTGTGGCACTTTCTTGTAGAAGCCGATGTCTGTGTAATGACATATCCTTGTTTTGTTAATTTAGCAGACAAGACACTACTTCCCGAGCCCTTATCAGTCAAGACACCTATTTTATAATAAAAAAAACATGTAATATAACAGAATAAAATAGAACAGAATAGTGCGAAGTAATTCGCATCTCGCGACTGGAACAGTTATTTTCAAAGAGTGATCATTTGAAACAGGACTTAATTGGCAAGTTGAAAGACACATTTTTCAGGGTTACAAACTAAAACCTGTCTTCTTTTCAATATACAGACATTCGCTTTACTTTATTCTGCCTGTTCCTTGGAATGTTCTAAATGGATTAACACTTCTACATTGAACACTGCATGGGGATGAATTAAGGCCAAGATATCTGTTTGGTGAGTATATTTTAGTCATTTAGCACTCTTATCCAGAGCGACTTACAGTTAGTGAGTGCATACATTTTTCATACTGGCCCCCCGTGGGAGTAGGCTTAATGATTCTGATAAAAATATTTTTACTTTGTGGATGTGGTAAATAATGACAACCGCAAAGTAGCCTAAGCAGAAAATTACCCAGTTATTCCAAAATTGCAGCTCATTGTTGGAACACATATTTCCCTACTTCAGTCAACCAGTCCATTTTGAATTTGTGCAAGGAATGTAGCTTGTGTATCCCATCAGTTAGAACACAATTGAGTGAGTGAGACACAGAGGGGAAAGGGACTGTGTGATGCATGGCTTGGTTAATTTTTAGATCTTCGTTTACAAAATGCAGCAAGTATTTTTTCTGTATTTTTTTCTTTGCTTTTCTGTGTGAAAAAAGCTGAATCCTGCATTATCGCGACCCCTGAGACATATGTTTGGGGTTTCAACACAGTTGCCATTGACCAGTGATACAGGGTCAGATATTTTTTCATTAAAAAGGGGAATTTTACTCAAAAGTTAAAATGTTATGTTCCATTCTTTACATTTTAATATTTCAGCGGATGTCTAACATAGGGCTGGCGATATAGCCAAAATATCATATCACAGTGTGCAGAGTGTGCAAAGCTGTCATCAAGGCAAAGGAGGGCTATTTGAAGAATCTCAAATATAAAATATATATTGATTTGTTTTTTTAAATGTGGGTTAATACATGATTCCATATGTGTTATTTCATAGTTTTGATGTCTTCACTATTATTCTACAATGTATGTCCAAACTTTTGACCAGTAGTGTATATCAGGGCAATAGTCCTGATGATGTCATAGGATTGTGCTTCCTAGGATTGGAGGGTAATGTGATCCTAAATCTGTGGTAAGGGGTAACTTCTACTGTCTTACATTTAGGTATTGAGTTCAAAGGTTAGCACGGCAGCTACACAGTCAATGTAAGTTAGCGGTTAGCGTGGGGTACAGTCAGTAAATAGGAAAGTTAGCATTGTGGGTACTGACCTCATTGATGCTGACCTCTGCCTCCACGTACTGCAGGCCCTTCTGGATGATGGAGATCAGGGCAGCAGGGGGAACCAGGGCTCCGTTGATGTTGGACTGGCTGATGTGGCTTTCTATGCCAAAGGTGAACGCCGAGTGGGAGAAGCCTGGCAGAGGGATGTAGAGAGACGGAGGGGAAAATGAGTGTTGTACACCGCTGTCCTTTAATCACCACACCACTGCGTCATTATGTTTACATTCACCTTGCAGAGTTTATACCCAGCAGGCAAACCTGGTTGTGTCTGGGTAGCAGTCAGTTAAGATTCATTTTGGGGATTATGGTAGCAGAAATGTTTGAGATATTAAGCATTTTTCCTAAATTTTAGCTAGATAAATTGCAGATCTGATAATGGAAAACGTGTTGCTTTCCCAAATAGTTCAAATAACAATTTTCAAAAGGGTGAGACACTTATTTCTGGAACTAACTACAGCACAAAGTTTATGAGAAGATATACAGTGCATTCGGAAAGTATTCAGATCCCTTCCATTTTTCCACATATTGTTAAGTTACAGCCTTACTCTAAAATGGATTGAATAAAAACATTTCCTCATCAATCTACACCTAATACCCCATAATGACTAAGCGAAAACAGTTTTTTAGAAATGTTGGCAAATGTATATATATAATTTAAAAAAAACGGAAATACCTTATTTACATAAGTATTCAGAACCTTTGCTATGAGACTCGAAATTGAGATCAGGTGCATCCTGTTCCCACTGATCCTACTTGAGATGTTTCTACAACGTGATTGGAGTCCACCTGTGGTAAATTCAATTGATTGGACATGATTTGGAAAGGCACACACACCTGTCAGAGCAAAAACCAAGCCATGAGGTCGAAGGAATTGTCCGTAGAGCTCCGAGACAGGATTGTGTCCAGGCACATATCTGGGAAAGAGTACCAAAACATTTCTGCAGTATTGAAGGTCCCCAAGAACACAGTGGCCTCCATCATTTTTAAATGGAAGAAGTTTGGAACCGCCAAGACTCTTCCTAGAGCTGGCCGCCCGGCCAAACTTAGCAATCGGGGGAGAAGGGCCTTGGTTAGGGAGGTTTGGTCAGGGAGGTGACCAAGAACCCAATGGTCACCCTGACAGAGCTCCAGAGTTCCTCTGTGGAGATGAGAGAACCTTCCAGAAGGACAACAATCTCTACAGCACTCCACCAATCAGGCCTTTATGGTAGAGTGGCCAGACGGAAGCCACTCCTCAGTAAAAGCCACATGACAGCCCGCTTGGAGTTTGCCAAAAGGCACCTAAAGACTCTCAGACAATGAAAAACAAGATTCTCTGGTCTGATGAAACCAAGATTGAACTCTTTGGCCTGAATGCCAAGTGTCACGTCTGGAGGAAACCTGGCACCATCCCTACGGTGAAGCATGGTGGTGGCAGCATCACGCAGTGGGGATGTTTTTCAGTGGCAGGGACTGGGAGACTAGTCAGGATCGAGAGAAAGATGAACGGAACAAAGTACAGAGAGATCCTTGATGAAAGCCTGCTCAAGACCACTCAGGACCTCAGACTGGGGCGAAGGTTCACCTTCCAACAGGACAACGACCCTAAGCACACAGCCAAGACAACGCAGGAGTGGCTTTGGGACAAGTCTCTGAATGTCCTTGAGTGGACCAGCCAGAGCCCGGACTTGAACCCGATCTAACATCTCTGGAGAGACCTGAAAATAGCTATGCAGCGATGCTCCTCATCCAACCTGACAGAGCTTGAGAGGATCTGCAGAGAAGAATGGGTGTAACTCTCCAAATACAGGTGTGCCAAGCTTGCAGCGTCATACCGAAGAAGACTCTAAGCTGTAATCGCTGCCAAAGGTGCTTCAACAAAGTAATAAGTAAAGGGTCTGAATGCTTTATACTATAAATTTGCTGAAATTTATAAAAAACAGTTTTTGCTTTGTCATTATGGGGTATTGTGCGTAGATTGATGAGGGAAAAAAACATTTAATCAATTTTAGAATAAGGCTGTAAAGTAACAAAATGTGGAAAAAGTCAAGGGGTCTGAATACTTTCCGAATGCACAGTAGATCAGATGTGGGTCTTACCTGACTCTTGCAGGTATCTGTACACCAGGAAGTTGACCTCATCACTGCTAATGCTCATTTTTAATCCTGGTGGTCAAACCATGGGGTCAGCGAAGGGAATGGGAGCCTAGGACGAGAGAGACACACACACATAGTTACAACACATAGCCTGAAAAAAATATCAATACTGTACAACTTGTGTTATACTCAGATACTTATTAACAGATTAAACAGACACTTCAATGAACCCAGTGCCTTCGTCATGGTTGAACATTTGAACGCTTGCCGATGGACTTCAGCTTACTACTACACTGATTAGTGACTATGTATATAGTTGGAACTGAGCTTTCTTTTGAACTTGGGAGTCTTGGCAAGTGGCAACATTGACTTTCAACATGTAGTCTAGATTGTACAGTGGCTTGCGAAAGTATTCACCCCCCTTGGCATTTTTCCTATTTTGTTGCCTTACAACCTGGAATTAAAATTGATTTTGGGGGGGGTTGTATCATTTGATTTACACAACATGCCTACCACTTTGAAGATGCAAAATAAAAATGAAAAGTGAAACAAACAAGAAATAAGACAAGAAAACAGAAAACCTGAGCGTGCATAACTTTTCTGGCCACTCTTCCGTAAAGCCCAGCTCTGTGGAGTGTACGGCTTAAAGTGGTCCTATGGACAGATACTCCAATCTCCGCTGTGGAGCTTTGCAGCTCCTTCAGGGTTATCTTTGGTCTCTTTTTTGCCTCTCTGATTAATGCCCTCCTTGCCTGGTCCGTGAGTTTTGGTGGGCGGCCCTCTCTTGGCAGGTTTGTTGTGGTGCCATATTCTTTCCATTTTTTTTAAATAATGGATTTAAATGGTGCTCCGTGGGATGTTCAAAGTTTCGGATATTGTTTTATAACCCAACCCTGATCTGTACTTCTCCACAACTTTGTCCCTGACCTGTTTGGAGAGCTCCTTGGTCTTCATGGTGCCGCTTGCTTGGTGGTGCCCCTTGCTTAGTGGTGTTGCAGACTCTGGGGCCTTTCAGAACAGGTGTATATATACACTGACATCATGTGACACTTAGATTGCACACAGCTAATTATGTGACTTCTGAAGGTAATTGGTTGCACCAGATCTTATTAGGGGCTTCATAGTAAAGGGGGTGAATACATATGCACACACCACTTTTCCGTTATTTATTTTTTAGAATTTCTTGAAACAAGTTATTGTTTTCATTTCACTTCACCAATTTGGACTTTTTTGTGTATGTCCATTTAAATTACAGGTTGTAATGCAACAAAATAGGAAAAACGCCAAGGGGGATGAATACTTTTGCAAGGCACTGTAAATGCATAATAGATCCATGCAAATACCCTGAGTCAATATAACAAGGCGTAAAAAGCCACGATGAACTCACAACGCAGAGTTCCACACTAACATTTTCCCCTGGTGGCACTGGTGCCACTAACTTTTTCAGTTGGTGGAACCAGCCCATGATTTGGTGGCACCCCCCAAAAAATATTCACAGTGTCACGCGCCTGCTTGTCGAATATCTCATTCCAAAACCATGGGCATTAATATGGAGTTGGTCTCCTCTTTGCTGCTATAACAGCCTCCACTCTTCTGGGAAGGCTTTCCACTAGATGTTGGACCATTGCTGCAGGAAATTTGCTTCCATTCAGCCACAAGTGCATTAGTGAGGCACTGATGTTGGGCGATTAGGCCTGGCTCGCAGTCGGCGTTCCAACTCATCCCAAAGGTGTTCGATGGGGTTGAGGTCAGGGCTCTGTGCAGGCCAGTCAAGTTCTTCCACACCATTTCTGTATGTTACACACTTTGTGCAGGGGGGCATTGTCATGCTGAAACAGTAAAGGGCCTTCCCCAAACTGTCGCCACAAAGTTGGTAGCACAGAATCGTCTAGAATGTCATTGTATGCTGTAGCGTTAAGATTTCCCTTTACCGAACCTTGAAAAACAGCCCCAGACCATTATTCCTCTTCCACCACACTTTACAGTTGGCACTATGCATTGGGGCAGGTAGCATTCTCCTGCAACCGCCACATCCTGATTGGTCCGTCGGACTGCCAGATGGTGAAGTGTGATTCATCACTCCAGAGAACGCATTTCCACTGCTCCAGGGTCCAATGGCGGCGAGCTTTAAACCACTCCAGCCGATGGTTGACATTGCGCATTATGATCTTAGGCTTGTGTGGCTGCTCCGCAATGGAAACCCATTTCATGAAGCTCCCGACGAATAGTTATTGTGCTGACGTTGCTTCCAAAGGCAGTTTGGAACTTGGTAGTGAGTGTTGCAACCGAGGACAATGATTTTTACGTGCTACGCGCTTCAGCGGTCTTGTTCTGAGCTTGTGTGGCCTACTACTTTGCGGCTGAGCCATTGTTGGTCCTAGACATTTCCACTTCACAATAACAGCACTTACAGTTGACAGGAGTAGCTCTTGCAGGGCAGAAATTTGACGAACTGACTTGTTGGAAAGGTGGCATCCTATGACGGTGCCACATTGAAAGTCACTGAGCTCTTCACTAAGGAAATTCTACTGCCAATGTTTGTCTATGAGATTGCATGTCTGTGTGCTCGATTTTATACACCTGTCAGCAATGGGTGTGGTTGAAATAACCTAATCCACTAATTGAAGGGGTGTCCACATATTTTTTTATATATAGTGTCACTTGAAACAGTCTAACCAGGTCTTGTGTCGAAGTCGCCAAGGCTAGCTAGTTCTAGCCATCTTCTTTCGCCAATTAGCTTCAGCCGGCTGGTGTGCGACCGTGGCAAGGTTGGGTTGACATTGGATAGCCTATCTCTGGTGCTAGTTAGGGATCATCAATAAATTACACAATGTAAATGGGACAATAATTTCATTTTGCTCTTTTCATTAAATTAAATGCTTTCAATATTTGTATATGAACTTCTACAATTTATAGTTGGTTTGTAGTTAAGTCATTGAAATTTGGAGCTATTACATTATGTAATTTACTGATGGTCCCTAACTATCCCCATAGCGATATCGAATGTCAAACAAAATTGACCATTGGCATTATGATCGGATTGGGTGCTGCCAGCT